TAATTCATTAAACCCTCACAACAATCCTATATCATCTGCATTTTATAGGTGAGGTGACAGAGGCACAGAGAAGTTAAGCAACTTGCCCAAGGCCATATATATAGTAAGTGGTAGAGCCAGGATTCAAAACCCAGCAGTTTGGCTCCAGAGCGCAAGCTCTTAAACTTTATATTAAACTCTTAAATGCTGTAGGTCCCTGGAAAAGACCCATGAAGCACTCAAAAAATTGTCAGAGCATATAAACAATAAAGGAAAAACAACTGGTTCTTAAATTTAGAGGAGGAGAGAGAAAGCCAGAGAAGGTGGTACAGACCCCCTGCATCCAGGGGACCAGCCGTCTTAGGGCCTCATCTGCTCACACTTCACTGCACAGTGCACAGACTCCTCCTTCAACACAAAAGACAAAGCCCGCCTTCCATAACCAGCTCCCTACCCCCCACAGCCACTTGCTCCAGAAGGCATTGAAGGAAAGGCAAAAAGAGAGAAGGCCATTCCTCAGCTTTAGCAGGGAGACAGACATGAGCATCCCAGGTGAGCTGGGCAGACAGGTGTGGGGTAGTTGGGCTCAGCTTTGAAACAGAGGACTGAGAAGGGAAGGGGATATCTCTCTCTTAGTCTGTCTTCCTCTTGGACATTTTTACTAGCTGTCTGCCAAGTCTCCCAGACCGACCCAAGGAACAGACAGACGGCTCCAGTAAGGGGTGAACAGCACTGGAAAATCCAGTAGCAATGACCCAAGGGACAAAGGACTCAGCATGACCCATCACCAGAAACACCTGCTAGCAGGCCTACAGCCCTCTGGGCTCCTTGGAAAAGCTCCAGCCCTCTGAGCCCCACAGGTGGTCTGCCCCAATTCCCCTACACTGCCAAGTCCTGGAGGACCATGGGTATATCTGGGTGGGTAGGGGAGGTGCAGACAAAGGATTTGGGGCCCATGACAGTGGAGACTAACAATTAGAGACTAACGTTTCATTTGACTGGTGATTTCTTCCCTCAGGTAGAGGGTAAAGAATGCCATCCCTGCAATCCCAGTATTTTCTTCTAATTAATCTCAACCCTGCCACTCCTGAAGGGAAAATAGGAACAGGTTAAAATATACTACAGATATCCACAAGTATATAGGAGCACATGCATCTGTGTACATCCAGCTGTACGCACACCCTGTGTGCATGTCTGAGAGTAACTTTGAGGCCAAGGCTTTCATATCTGTGCCCAGCCCATGGTGGGGCTCAGTCAGGGCTCGCTTTCTTTACCTAGGGCTCAAATACTAAAATGGATGAGGTTCAAGGTGAGGGAGGGACATAGGTAAAAAAAAGGTCTGGTGTCCGGGGCTGGAACTTTGTCTCTGGGTTCAAAGGCTTAAACCAAGACTGTTTTATCTGAGTCAACTCTCTCCATGGTAGCTTTGGGCTGTTAGGAAGCAGGGCTGAAGGAAGTTGTAGCCACCATATGTCTTCAAACCCTGAAGAGTATGCAGTGGATAGAAGGAGCACAGGACCCAAACTGGAACCCCTAGAAGCTGGCAGGGAGCAGAGCAATCAACCTATCATTTTATTTGAAGAGCCTGATGCCCAGTGAAGGGAAGTGACTCGCCCAAATGCCTCAGTAAAGTGGTAATAATATTGCAACCAGGATTCACTGTCAAATTCTCTTCCTGCTACGGCACATGCATTCTTTGTCACTTCCTAAATGGTGTCCCCTCCACAAGACAGCTGGTTGGAGTATGCTTCCCACACACTAGGTGAAGGGTTGCTTTTTGGTTCATTCAGCACTGTTTTAGGCCATGGGATAGTAATCATAAACCCTAAATCTTAACTATTATCATAATAATAGCAGCTAAAATTTATTGTGTCCATGTTGCACCAGGCATCATCTCCCTGATCCTCATGACAACCCTATGATAAGGTACTACTACTACTGTCCCCATTGTACCGATGAGGAACCAAGGCTCAGAGAGGTTAACCAATTTACCCAGGATTATGCATCCAGGAAGCGTTAGCTTAAACCACTTCCCATGCTCTTAACTATTGCATTTCACTACTGTTTCACAAGTATAAAGATAAGAAAGTGAATGAATATAATGCAGACACTGTTAAGTACTATGAAAAAACAAAGCATGACGAGAGATAGAGGATGGAGGGTGTCTCCTAATGTCT